TCATCGACGCCATCAAGCCGTTTCTGGACTACTATGAACAGGTTGATGGCGTGTCGTACCGGAAGGCAATCTTCATCTTCCTCAGGTTAGTGGGAAGTGGTTTCTCAGGGACACACTTGCCCCTCGCCCTCCTGGGGCTGGAATGAGGTCTGGCGACCATCAGCATCCTGTTTCCCAGGAACAGAAGTGCCAGCCTGGCAAGAGTGACTTCCTGATTTCTTTTGCTGTCCTGTTGCTGGTATCAGCGTGGCACAGAGGGGGCAGGAGAAGATGAATTCAATATGGCTGCTAACAGGCGATTTCATTACTGCACATGTTTCTACGTAAAGTGGTGGCGTTAGGTAGCAGGTTCTAAACAAAGACTGTAGGGCAGACACTGTTTTGTCTAGCAGGTGTGTTTCCTCATTAGACACAGAAGTCTTTTTTTTTTTCATGGAATTTATTGGGGAGACATTGGTTAATAAAATGTTACAGGTTTCAGGGTACAATTCTATAACACATCATCTGTGTGTTCACCACCCCAAGTCAAGTCTCCCTCCCTCATCATTTATCCCCGTTAGTTACCCTCTTCTACCTCCCCCAGCCCCTAGGCCAACCGTGGGCAAACTACGGCCTGCAGGCCGGCAGTTTCAAATGAATAAAACTAAAAAAAAAAAAAGACCGTACCCTTTTATGTAATGATGTTTACTTTGAATTTATATTAGTTCACACAAACACTCCATCCATGCTTTTGTTCCGGCCCTCCGGTCCAGTTTAAGAACCCATTGTGGCCCTCGAGTCAAAAAGTTTGCCCACCCCTGCCCCTAGGCACAGAAGTCTTAGTATGTGGTTTTTAATCTTTGTTTCTTGGGCAAACTCAGCAACGCAGGCGGGGACCTCATCACGAAGACGGCCCTGGAGTTCTGGCGTGCGGGAAGGAAGAGGGAGGACATCCAGCTGAAAGACCTGGAGCACGCACTGTCGGTGGGAGTCTTCAACAACAAGCACAGTGAGTCTCCAGGGGCAGCCCTGCACCTGCCAGCAGTCCTCTCCCCAAGCCTTTCACAGAGGCCGCAGGACCCGCTCGCCTCCGGGGCTTTGCCGGGCCAGGGGCTTTCTCAGGGTGTTTCTCAGGGGTTCTATCTATGAAAGGTAACCTCACAGGGTGATCTGATTATAACTGGGAAGGCCCTGACAGGGAGTCACACCCCAGGCATGTAACTTTATTTATTTTTTATTATATATTTTTATTGACTTCAGAGAGAGAGGGAGAGAGAGAGAGAGATGGAAACATCAATGATGAGAAATAATCATTGATCAGCTGCTTCTTGCACACCCCACACTGGGGATCGGACCTGAAACATGGGCACGTGCCCTGACCGGGAATCGAACCCTGACTTGCCGGTGGTCTTAATCCAGCATCTAGAAGCATTCTGGAATCTGGAGTAGGCACTGTGTGTAAATGATTAAAGAGTCCAGAGATGAAACATAATTTTGGAAGGCATTTGGGGGCCAGAGGAGACTTAGCTTAAGGAACTAAGTTCTCCCTTGTCTCAGGACCCCTTGCTTTTTATTAACACAAGTTGTCCTAAGGCAAAGTAGATATACATCAAAGGCCAGGTTTAGTATATACAGAATCCATTGTCAGATTGGAGGAATTGCCTACGGCTGTTCAGGTGTTTGGCCAGTAGGAGGCAATAACAAGTAGATTGAAATGCCCTCAGCTGTCTGGCAGCAAGCAATCATTTTATGCATCCTTTTCAGGTTTGGGGAAATGCCCTCAGACATCTCCAGATGATTCAGCCCTGCTGATATGCTGGAATTGGCTCCTGGCACTGACTTCCTGGTTCATAGGTCGATGCTCAACCACTGAGCCACCCCAGCTGGGCGGCATGTAACTTCTTTAGTGAAAGGCTTATCTTTGCCTTAACCAGTTACTACCACTAGTCCAAAACAGAAATCATCCCCACATGCCACGATATTTTTAATTTAATTAGAAAAATCAATTTTCAGTTAACATTATAAAAATATTACTCACAAGTTGGGTGTTCTTGAATATTTTCAGCTGAAAATTCTCACGAAAA